TATGAGAGGGGTATTTTTAGTGGCAGCCAGACTAAAGTCATCATCTCTTGACTCTCTCACCCTTTAATTTCCCTGGGTTGTCAAAATGATGCCCACTAGTTAACCACCAACAGGTGGAAGCAATGCTTATGGGGACTGCCATCATCTGGGAAATTTCACGCAACAATAACCCAACACACAAAGTTCAAAGAATTTGGTGTATAATATTAATTAAGTCTGTTTGTGGCTGCTTAATCATAGGGTACATGTTCCAGTCAACTATTGCTGGGGGAAAAGCTAAAGCTTGAACTGGTTTATTTAACAAATAGATTCTGAGTTGCCTCTGTTGTGTAATAGATCAAAGATGATGTCAAAATGTGGTAAGTACAAAAAAAAAAAGGCACACATTAAGGGGTAACAAAGTGTGTCACTGGTATGATCTGTTACTGTACAAGCTCACAGCAACATGGGATTAATTTGCTTTGTATGATGAAAAATGCAAGTAGTGGTGATCTCATCTATGTGTCTGTCCTTTGATAGATTATAGCTAGGTAAGAACCAATCAAACTGCATGTATATTCAGTTTATAATATAACATAACATATTCAGGTGTCATGATCATTAAAAATCATATATCAGCCACCTTAAAATTTCAAATCTCAAAAAATGTCAAGTTTTCAGATTCAATGGCATGTGATAAAAAAAAAAACAACAACAACAACAACTCACTGTGATATTTTGAGCTTCGCAGGGGGATCACCCTTACAACCAGACACCTTCCACTTGTGGTATTCCTCCAGCTTTTTGCTAGATACATTTTTGTTATTGTTGGATGTTTGCATGTTATAATTAGTTTGAAGAATAAATGAATCAGTTTTGCCTATGGGTTGACTAGCTGTCTTTTGATGCGTTCCAGAGTTGATGTCCACTCTCCTTCTGTCAGAAGGCAGAGACTCTGCCCTCTGAATGTTTTTTGTTCCCTTGTGTGGTGTGTTGTCATTAGACGGTATATTACTGTCCTTGGAGAACCTCCGAAAAAAGTTTGACTCCCCTGGTAAAGGTGACAATTCCTCACCTGCAAAAAAACACCACAGTTGTGCTTCTGATTTGTTGTAAATATCAAGCAAGAGAACCAAATATCTTCAAATTGGTAGTATCTTTCTCCTGTGTCTCAAAAAAACAAAAAAAAAAAAAACCAAACCTAGAGTTAGGCAGGATTCATTAATAATATCTTGTTGTGATGGCAAAATTAAAAAAGGGGTATGTGAGAGCTTGCAATTTGCAGCAGGCTCTGATGGAGGGCTAATGCTTGAAACATCTGTGTTGAAATTCCTTGCAGTGGCCAATTTACATTATCAACTCAGTTGAAGTTACAAAATTATCTTGTTATATTCTCCCACCAATGCAGCACCAAAGTTTCTTTAGAAACTTAGCCCCTTTTAATAGAAAAGGCCTGAAAAGACAAAAAAAATTACAGCCTGTTCTACAGGCAAGAGTAAAATTTTAACTTGTGGAGTTAAGTACTGATAAGACCAATATCTGGACCTACCAGTCGATACATTGATAATACTATCAGGAGTGAAGGTCCACATGTCTTCTTTTTCACTTTTAAGATCACTACCACCCCTGTCTGTCTGGTCATACACATCAGAAAGTCTGTCCCATTTGTTTCTGTTCAATGATGATGACTGCTTTGCATCAGACTCATCAAAACTTTCCCAATCCTGCAGATGAACATTGCTTGAGGAAGACTGTGGTGTCACACTGTGAAACCTCTCACATGCATCTATGTTATTAATGTTGCTGAAGTTTGTTGCTCTCCGTAGACCACCAAGACCATATGATTCTTTATCTGTTAATGTAGGAACATCGTAATCTGAAAGGCTAACATGTCCAGCAACAATTGCACCAAAGTCATCAAAGTGAGAGGTACCACGTGTAGTCAAATCACTCAGGTGCCGCCGAGGCTGCTTCCTAACACGTCGTATAGGCATATCATCCACAAATCCAGACTCGACCAAACCATAATCTGAATTATCTAAAGGATCAGTGTACCCAGATATGTCTCCAACAGCACCAAGAGCCTGAAGGTCTGATTCTTGTTCTCTAGCTAAAGTACAGTCAAGCTCCAATGCTAGACGATCCCTCTCTGCCTGCAGTGATGCTATTGTAGCATCAGAATCAACTAGCTGCCATTCCAAGTTTGAAATGTGTTTGTCCTTCTCTAATAACTTTAATTGGAGTGCATCCACCTATCGAAGAAAACCAAAATAAAAGAGAAAAACAAATCAGTATATTGGTCTGACTGCCCATCCCCCAATTAGTCTTTCAGTCAGTTTGTCTGTCAGCCAGTCAGTCTGGTCCATTACTCTGCAACTTAATCAGTCAATTCATCTGTGGCTTGGTCAGTACATCAGTCAGACTGTTAGTCAATCTGTTTGGTTATTTGTCTGCGAGTCTGTCAGTTAGTTTGTAACTCCAACTCCCAACATATCAGCAAATAAGTCAGCCAGTTGTTCTGTCAGCCAGCCAGCCAGTCAGTCAGTCAGTCAGTCATTTCATCACTCAGAGTCATTCAACTGAATTGATAATGCCAATTGGCCACCATAAGGAGTCTCTGAAGCTAACATACCAAGCATTAGCCCTTTGCCAGAGTACCTGAGTCAGCCATTCATCCAGCTGGTTGGTGATTTAGTCAATTAGTCTGTGACTCACTCACTCACTCATTCATAATGCTGGTCAATGAATCACTTTGAATATACGTTTTTTTTTCCTTCCTGACGACTTCTACATACCTTAGCATCTGCTTCCAATTTTTTTTGATACACTTGATCAGAATCAAAGATTTCCTTCACCAAGCCTGATGAATGACTCAAATCTGTTACAAAGAAATTTTCAGTGAAATAAGAATCCTGTAAATGTCATAAGATTAAATATAACACTCAAGTTGATGCTTTCCTGGCTATTTGACTCTTGCATCCTAGTGAACCTTTTTAAATAACTGAGATTTATTTAGTATACTTTGTTCAGAAAAGTTCTAAAATTTTTTTGGCAATCCTGCACTGTTTAAAACTTCATACCAAGCAAAGGTACTCATTTGATAAATTGATGAAGCTTAAAATCTTCCTGGAAAAAAATGTTTCTCTTACCTTTTTCAGTTGTGTTCTGAGATGATAACAATTGTATATTTAATTTTCTAAGGTTGTTTATTTCTTCTTGTAGTTTTTCTTTGACAAGTTGATTTTCTTTCTCTTTATCAATCAACAACTGATCAACTGTAGCTTTGTCTGTTACTAGCTTTTCACAGTGCAACTGAAGTTGCTCAATCTGCGCCCGTAAACTGTCATAGGAGTCAAGAATCTCTTCTAATGCTTCTTCTCCAAATAAGTCCAGCTCACGAGGAGTGTCGCGTTGTGATGACTCTTGGGCAGATGACTCCATTACTTTACAGCAAAAGTTCACAGCCTTGTCAAGGCTGGATTACAAAGCACATCTAAGAAACAAAAAGATGAACGAAGTCAGCATTTCATAAACAACCATTGGATCTATAACAATTTAGTAAGTCGTCTAACAAAGAAAATGAGAATTTTGTTCAAATGTATTGCACTACAGCCTCAACCTTTTGCCTATCTCCTCTCAAGGGGGTAGATATCCCAATTCATTCCCAGGTCTCCCCTCTTCCCACCAACCCTAGTGGGGTAAGGATGGGCAAAAACCATAAAAAAAAAAGTTATGTTTGAAATTTTCTAGAAACACCGTTTTTCAGAAGTTTATAAAAATAGGCGGCCCTGTCAGAGTTACCTCAGTCAACCCAATATATAATTCTATGGTGAACTGCTACAGTTATCAAACTGCGCTTGGCTTTTGTATCTGAGGAAATTCTTATAAAAATAATACATTTGTCACCTTATTTTGTTCGTCAATCCGTTTAGAGCAACAAAAGTTCCATGTACAATAACATGAACTGAGTGACCACAAAAGGAAGAAAAAACAACACGAATCCAATATCGATCATCGTGTCAGACGCCTAAATTTTGGATCTAAGTAATGCCTGTTTTTGTAACGCCTAACCTTAAGAAATTTCACATCGAACAAAATTTTATGAGTAGCAGAAAAAAGTGAGTTGAGCTTTAATAATTTTCTGTAAATGTGAGTTACTTATCCGACTTCACTCCGAAATTTTTTATGATGGGGCATAAGTTTGGCGACTTACGTCAAAACCTTGGTAGCATGAAGGCAAAATCATCACGTTCTTACAGCGAAATTAATCAACGGCGTGAAAACCAAATTTAGCGAAGATGTACGTCAAAAATATAAACACTTCTCCAATTCATAATTTAATATTTTCATTCCT